TGATCATCAGGGCACTGATAATCAGTGTGCCCTGATAATCAGTGTAGCCCCAGCAGTGCCATCTGTCAGTGTCCATCAATGCCAGATGTCAGTACTCATCAGTGCCACCTGCCAGTGCCACATATCAGTGCCTACCAGTGCACATCAATGCAACATATCAGTGCCCATCTGAGCTGCCTTTTAGTGTCACCTATCAGTGCTGCCAGTCAGTGCCACCTATCAGTGCTGCCAGTCAGTGCCACCTATCAGTGCTGCCATCAGTGCCACCTATCAGTGCGCATCAGTGCAGCCTCACTTAGCGCATATCAGTGAAGAAGAAAAAATCACTTATTTACAAAGTTTTAAAACAAAAAAGAAAGAAAAAAACTTTTTTTTTTGCAAAATTTTCAGTTGTTTTTGGTTTGTTTAGCAAAAAATAAAAAACACAGAGGTGATTAAATACCACCAAAAGAAAGCTCTGTCTCAAAAAATTATAAAAATTTCATATGAGTGCGGTGTTTCATGACCGCGCAATTGTCACTCAAAGTGCAACAGCACTGAAAGCTGAAAATTGGCCTGGGCAGGAAGGGGGTATAAGCAGGGGCGGACTGACCATTTGGAAACTCGGGCAGTGCCCGAGGGCCCGGGGTCAGTAGGGGGGCCCATGAGATGCCCCTGGTACCTTTTTCATAGGCTTTTTTGAGTTTGGGCAAGGACACAGGGGCCCCATTATCCCCTATTGCCCAGAAGCCCCATGAGTTGTCAGTCCGCCCCTGGGTATAAGTGCCCATTAGGCTAGTGGTTAAAGTGATTGTGAACCCTTATATATACCCAGTGAAGTGCCTCACTTCAGGTGATACACAGAGATAAAACAAATCCTCCTACATTAGTTGTAACTGTCTATCTGCAACCGTCTGTCCCCTACATCCATTCAAAGTGCAGAATTTACACAGGATCTCTCAGCACTGAAAAGCAGGGGGTGGGAAGATGAAGTTACATCAGTGAGGACTCAGAGCAGTTTGGGGGAAGGGATACGCCCCTATTCACACAGCACACATGAACAGAGCTGTCAATCAGAGGCCCTCCCATCACCATTTGTTTCATGGTGTCAGGAAAACTGGTCAGAAGTGACTCATGCTGATAGCAGAGAAACGAGACAGCGGACAGAAGTGACACTTAGTACTTAGGAATGAGGCAAGTACACAGTATAGAAGGATTTTCTTTGTTCAGATTTCATGTCTGAAGTTTACAAACACTTTAAGGAACAAAGAACAATACACAGTTACCATGTCTACAAGAAAAGCACATGCATGTATATATTCCCAACAGACGCCTTACTCATAAGCTACAGATCTATATTCAAACATTATACTACAGAAAAAATGTAATAAGCACCAAATGCTGTATTTTGGGAAATGACAAATGTTCTTTCATATTTAGAAATACTGGGGCTCTAACAAGGCATCGGATTGATAGGGAAGCACTGTGCCTATAAAACAAACTGGTTACTTTCACTTGTATGCACGTAAAAAAGGTTTTGTTTAAAGGAACCAGGGTCAGGGGATGGCATCAGAAGACTCTAGGTGGTATAATGGTATATTTTTAGAAAAGATGTTATCAGATGGTTATGAAAATAGCATAATCACTCTTCACAAACTCACCTTAAGGATATATACATTTGTGCAATAGGGGCAATGTGTGCAAAATCGTACACAACACTCAAAAAATGTGCATCGCTCTTGCAGGCGTGCAGCTGTATCATTCATTTTCATAGCACCCCCAATGCACCTTGCTATTGTCACACAGTAAAACACATTGTAACATAGTACCATGCATTTTGATGCACCACGATTTAAATAAAAAAAAAATGTGCTTGCACTTCTTTGGTGCGATTTTTGCATGTAGAGCAATCCATTAGAATTAAATGCAGCATGCGAAACATGCAAAAATGTGGGTGCACCATTGCACCTGTATAGGTGCGAAAGGAGCCCAAAGTCATAGTCGCTATACTTTCTGGCACTTGCACATCTGTGCTAATTGGTTTAAAAGAAGCACTGTTCACGCTCTCCAACTCATTGGGTCCCCCAGCTTTTCATCCTACATAGGGTCTATTGTACCCCTGTATTTCTGTATAAAATTGGTCATTTCAGTGGTCCCTGATTTGAGAAGCACTGTTGTAGTGCAGTATAATGGGTCAGTGATGAGCACTATAGCTAACCTTTATTGAAATCTAGTTTTTTTCTTCAGCAGATTAATCTCTGCATTGAGTTTGTAAGCTTTCACTTTGATGTGAAGTTTTTTTTGTTTTTGGTTTTTCAGGTCCTTCACAATCCACAAACCTACTAGCATACTGGTATGTCAAAACCCAAAACTGGTCTTTATGTTGCTGGTTGAGAACATTAATTATAGGCTAGTGAGAGGCTGATACATTTGGATCAGTGTTTATTAATTTTATGTTTGTAGTAATTGTCAGTGCTTTTGATGGCATAGCATGTTAAAAATTGGACATGTCATGTCAACAGGAATGGGAAATAATGGAAAAGGGTGTGTCCATGAATGATACTAATAGGAGAATTATGAATATTGCTAGTGTATAAACTACAAATATTTCTGCTGAGAACATATAAAACATGTTCATAAGTTGTTTTACCAATTTGACATACCCCTCCTCAGTCACCCTGCTTTATAAGATAGGCTTCAAAACTGTTCATATCATGTTGGAATTCTGCTATATCAGGGGTCTCCAAACTTTATAAACAAAGGTCCAGTTTATTGTCCTTCAGACTTTAGGGGGGGCAGACTGTGGCCAGAGGTAGTGGAAATTTTCCTGGCATCAGTGGGAGTAAACATCACTACATTTGATATTAGGGGAAGAACAGTGTCCCATCATTGGTATCAATGGGAGGCAGATGTAAAACACACGTTACAACTGGGAAATCAGTATATTGGATGTTTGGGGTAGGGTAGTAGAAGCACTTTCTTATGTGTTGGTTTTGAAAACAAACTTGTTGCAAAACCACCCTACTTAATTGATACACACACATCAAGGAGGTGATTAAAGTGTTTAGGATCTTCAGTCTAAATGCTATATCCTGAAACAGAAAGTTAGAGAAACTCCACTTTAGTCAAGAAAAAAAAAAAAAAAAAAACATTCCTCTTTAGGTCATCAATGCACATTGCGAGGATTTTACCAAACTTTGTTGCAGAATCCTACCGTCAGAAGAAATAGCTGTTTGTCATTGCCCATGTACTGAATGAATCTGCAAGGGAGTGGTTTCATAATTATCAATCAGCTGCTGCACCTGCTGGGCTTTAATGAGGAACATTTCAGAGTCTACATCCCTTCACATGTGATTTCCTTTTGGGAGTATGGCTGGCCATACATGGGTCGATTTTCGAACACTTTTTCAGTCAAAAATTGAACCTAAGAATAATCAGCTGATTATCGCTCTGTTAGTGTGGCAATGGAACCAGCCAATTTTTGTGGTTCCACCACATTTCGTTTATTGGACATGCTGGAAAATTTGTGAAAAACGACTAAAATCATTGGTGGCACCATCGGATTACAGAAAAAACGAATGATGTTTTTGATCGAAAAATCGTTCGGAATTCGACCCATGTTTGGCCTGCTTAAGTCACCAAAAATGAAATTTTGTTGCAGGGGATGCCAAAAATCTGTATTTTAGTGCAGACTTCTGGAAGAATCAGTCAGCCAATCAGACAAGCAGGAAATTAATTTCTGGGGGGCGTTCTGTACACCATCTGTGTACAGAACATCTCCAGGTAGCCATATTGAACTGTATTTTACAGAAAATGACAGCGCTGCAGATTGAAAAGGAAAGGTTATTTTGTAATAACATTCAATTGTGTGTTGCAATTGTATATACTGTATTTTTTTTATTTGCTATTTTTTCCCATGAAAGTGGTGTTACCCTTTAAAGTGTTAACTAAAGGCAACATTTTTTTTAGTTCCAGATAGAGTGGAGAGAGATTAGAATGCCTGTCAGTTTTCATTGCTCTCGGGGCCACTCTGGAGAGAGTCACTCTCTATTTTTCCTGCTTACCGATATGATTGAAAGTGAAAATGCAGGAAAATTCCTGGGTTGACCCCGGAACATTACAGTGATTGTAAATGAAAAAAAATAACAAACAGGTTTATACTTATCTGCTCTGTGCAATGTAATTGTGCAAAGCATCCCCAATTCTCCTCTTCTCAGGTACCTCACTGGAACTCCTGGTTTCTCCTCTTCTCAATGTGCCACCATAGGAAGTTGCTTCCTACTGTGGCACGCCTGTGGGCTAGAGCCCAGCCACGCTGCCTGTGTCCATAGACACAGACAATGTGGCACAACCTCGCTCCCCCCACTCTCAGAATTTGACTGACTGGTGGGAGTCAATGGCTCCCACTGCCTCAGCAAAGCCTGTGAGACCAGGAAGTAAGAGGAGATAGCTGCTGCAGATGGGCACAGTGCTAGACTCAAGTAAGCAATGTGGGAGAAGGAGGAGAGGGGGTGATATTTTTACGTAACTTTTTTTTTCCTTAACGAAAGGAATACATTAAGGTAAAAAAATGTTTAGGCTTTAAAAATATTTTTATATAGGGGAAATCTTCCAAGGGGGACACTAGTTCTGGTGACACACCAGGATTCCCTCACTTAAGAGGGATTACTTCATGTTTTAGCTGTGAGACAGGAATTGAAAGGAAATCTCCTCAATGGAAAAACAGATGGCAAAAAAAAACACCTGACAGGGATTCTAACCATACCTTACTCTATCCAAAATGAAAAAAAAAACGTTATGCCTATAGTTATACTTTAACCGCCTCCCACCCGCCATGTAGTACAATGACGGGCGCAAGGCGGTTCTCTCGTTCTGGGAGGACGTCATATGACGTCCTCCCATTCTAACTGCGCATGTGCAGCTCCGGGAGCGTGCAGCACGGCGATCGGCGCTGCGCTGTGTCCCTCGGACAAGTGGATCACCGATCCATGGAAAGAGCCGAAGATGTCAGCTCGGTCATGTGATCAGCTGTGTCCAAACACAGCTCATCACATGCAAACAGGGAAATGCCGGTTATCAGCATTTCTCTCCTCATGAGCTGTCACGGTGACAGCTCGTGAGGAGAGGAGAGCCGGTAATCGGCATTCCTCGGAGGGGACATGTACACTGATCATCAGAGCACTGATGATCCGTGTGCCCTGATGATCTGTGTAGCCCCAACAGTGCCATCTGTCAGTGTCCATCAGTGCCAGCTGTCAGTGCTCATCCATGCCACCTGCCAGTGCCCATCAGTGCCACATTTCAGTGCCTACCAGTGCACATCAATGCCACATATCAGTGCCAATCTGAGCTTCCTTTCAGTGTCACCCATCAGTGCCAGTCAGTGCCACCTATCAATGCCAATCAGTGCCACCTATCAGTGCCAGTCAGTGCCGCCTATCAGTACCCGTCAGTGCTGCCTATCAGTGCGGCCTAACAATGCTAGTCAGAGACACCTAACAGTGCCAGTCAGTTCCGCCTATCAGTGCCATATATGAGTGCTGCCTTTCAGTGCCCATCAGTGATGCCTGTCAATGTCTATCAGTGCTACCTACCAATGCCTCCTCATCAGTGCCACCTATCAGTGTCCATCAGTGCAGCCTATCAGTGCCCTTCACTGCAGTCTCATTAGCGCACATCAGTGAAGGAGAAAAATCTCTTACTTACCAAATTTTATAACAAAAACTAAGAAAAACTTTTTTTTTCAAAATTTTCAGTGGTTTCTTGGTTTGTTTAAGAAAAAATAAAAAACCCTGAGGTGATTAAATACCACCAAAATAAAGCTCTGTCACAAAACAATTATAAAAATTTCATATGGTTACAGTGTTGCATGACTGCGCAATTGTCATTCAAAGCGTGACAGCGCTGAAAGCTGGAAATTGGCCTGGGCAGGAAGGGGTATAAGTGCCCTGTAGGCTAGTGATTAAAGTGTTACTAAACCCAGGACCCTGCATCCACTATATCTGGTCTCCCACAGTAATAAGAAAATGGAAGTGCAATTATTTTAGTAAATATAAACTGCTAAATACCTTTTCTCATCAGAAGTTAGAGCAGTCTTGTAGCTTCTATCAGTGTTCAGCCGAGCACTAGCTAAAGTTTGTAGGAGGAGTTTTCACTTTGCTCTAGGAGGATGCAAAACCCCCCCGACCTCTGTCTGGACAGTGCTGATTTGCCCTGTGCTGACCACATGAACTCTTCCAAGAAAAAAAAAACTCTCTAGCAATACACACCAAACTGAGCATGTGCAAAATGCCTATGGTTCAGTCTGACTTATCAGAAAGGATCAAACAGCCTTTTTACACAATGCAAAGGATTAACACCTTAGGTTCCACAGTGAGTATAACAAGCATGCTTTACTGCATATACAGATTGATTTTACAGTTGTGGGTTTAGTAACACTTTAATGTAGTCAACAAACTTGATAATGTCTTCATTCGATTTGTTGAAATACCTGTGTTCACTGACAAATGATGGTAAGAATGTAAGTCCTTCAATGAGATGCTTTCAAAAGCATTTGGATGAAATTAAAATGGCAATAACAGCTTTGTAGTGCAACAAAGGCCTGGACATCAAAAAGCCAGTTCAATGCATTTTGTGGAAAATAGGTGCATGAGATAAAAGCAAAGTTATTAAGTATGTGCGCAGACCTAACATACAGTAAGTGATGACCGAGACTGGCTTTTATGAAAAAAGGTCTTTTTTGTAATGGTCGTGCGTACCTGGCACCAAAATAACTGGGTGTGTAGCAGCCATTTTGTTGAGGTCACAAGTCTTCCATGCCATTTTGTCAGAAAAGAGGAATGACCACAGTGACCTTCTCTTCTCTCCCCCTCCCTCCTCCTTTCAGCTCATACAATCCAGTACATCTTAGCTGACACTCCATATTAGTCTGGTAATAGGACAAGCAGGATCCAACCGCCAATACACATTGCAGGGCCCATAAAATTGTCTGACTTAGCCGCTTCAGTGACTAGAAAGTTAAAACGGTTGTAAAGGCTCATGGTTTTTTACCTTCATGTATTTTATGCATGAAGGTAAAAAACCTTCTGGGTAAAGCAGTGCCCCCAGCCCCCTCAATACTTACCTGAGCCTCATCACGATCCAGCAATTTGGACAATCTCGGCTGTTCCGGGTCTCTGGCTCCTCATTGGCTGAGACACCATTGGCTCCCACTGCTGTCAATCACAGCCAGTCAGCCAATGAGGAGATAGAGGGGACGGGTCCAAGCCACGGGTTCATATGTGAATGGACACACAGAGCAGCGGGTGCCCCCATAGCAAGCTACTTGCTGTGGGGGCACCTGACAGGAGGGAGGGGCCAAGAGAGCCTGTGGGGGACCCGAGAAAAGGAGGATCCAGGCTGTTGTGCTGTGCAAACCACTGCACACAGTAGGTAAGTATAGCATGTTTGTTATTTTCCCCCAAAAAAATATTAACCTTTAGAATCGCTTTAATAGACATTGGGTCATAAATACTTTAGTTGGAATCTAGAATACACATATCCGTCTTTTGGTAGAACCCATCATCCCAGTATGATTCATAACTTCTGAAATCATGACTGTATAGCCAGAATAAAGTCATCTTCACCTTCATCAGTTATTGAGTAGCATTTTGAACCCAAACACCCCTATGCTAGGAGGTACCAGAGTGGATTAGGCCTGCACACCCTTCCTTTGAGAAATAGATATCCGAGACCCGTCATATCTATATCCATTTCTAAGCTAATTTTATGTTGGACAATAATCTGCATGTTAGCAGACTGTAAACTGCAGATATTCACAGTTAAAACTTATAGAAAACTATATCTGGGACTGGGTCATAAATGGGTGACCTCCCAGCAACCACCCCTAAAACCAAATGATTGGTCAGATGGCCTCTGTCAACACCCCTTTGATCCCACAGAAAAGGGGAATACCAGGACATTTGACAGCTCTCATTTAACATCAAACCAAGGAACACCTTACTGGACTTGAGAGAGCCATTGCACCATTTTTGCTTTTCCATTGGACTCTGCAAACCAGGACATTGTTAAGTAGTCTTAATTTACAACGGCTTTTTATTTCTCTGTTGCCTCACTGTCTCTTTATTTCCTTGTAACACCCTTTTTCTGTAAATATTTTTTTGCACCATTTTGACTTTTTCATTGTTAAACCCTATTTTGAAAAGTGTTGAAATTGTCTCTAAGGCTTTTAATGCGAAACTAAAACATCCCTGTCTCTGGAAAAGTGCTACTGTATATAATAATCGTCTGAATATACTTGTCTGTGGTGACAGTGTGTGTACAGATGTTTATTTTTCATATTTGTTATTGCTAACATTGTGAAGGGTTGATAGGCCCAAAGCTATCTGGTGACAGTTTGGAGTTTAAAGGGTTAATTGCTTAGGTAACTTAACCCAATGACAGTCACTCTCGGGCTGTTGGCACCTAAATTGTGGTTCTGCAAGCTAGAAAATCTTTGTGCAGGGTGCAGCTGAGAGTGGCATTGTTACAAATGTGACAGCACGGTGTGAGATTGGCCAATCCTTTGTCCTGAGTTGGTGTTGCTTTTTCGCTACCTAGTGAGCAACGCATTAGGAACAAAAATATGCATATCATGTGTCAAAAACCTGAGCATTCTAGTTCCAAGTCCTCTATTTCCAAGTGACTTTTTCAGTAGTAAAAACAAAAATAAGGATGACCGTTTTAAAACATGCAACTTTAAATACAAACTAGTGCAGCCCTCTTTGGGGGTGGGGGGGGCTATGAGAAATGTCCCTCCTCAAACATGATATTGCTTTAACCTGTAAGTAAACAAGAGAGCCAGAACCTTTACCAAGTGGAAGAGTATGTTTGATAATAAAGTTGGCAATGCCTCCACCCAGGACAGGGCCTCTGTGAGCATAAGGGATTCTGTTCCTGGGAAATTAAATAGTAACCTAATCAAAGTAATTGAAGGAAGAAGAAGTACTGCAGCCAGCATATAACATTAACTATAAGTATTTAAATACAATTCAGTATAGGAAGAAAAAGAGTTTTAATAATAAAAAGTTACTGTAATAATTGTACAATGATGAGGGGGAGCTCCTCCAACCGTTGTCCAAATGGTCTGGAATGTAGCTTCTCACCAAGAGAAACTGTGGACCTGGAATTCCAGATCAGCCTATCTACTCTGTTTCTTAGTCCCTAGTAATTTTTAATCTATCATGCAACCTGACCTCTATCTACTGGGCCGTCAGATGCCTAACCTGGCTTCAGCCTATGCTGGTGTTTGAGCACTGAGCTAAAACTAGCTATAGAATCCCAGACCAGAAGCAGGGTTAACCAAAATAACAAGAGCTGTATATAAACTATACTGCAATAAACAGGTTCACCTACTAATATACTGGAAAATAACCACTACACACATACAGTAACACTGATATAGCTATCTGGACTTGTGCATGTGAGGTAATAACAATAGGACAGAGACTCATCTCTCACAGTATTCACATCAAGAAATTATGGGTAGCTACAGTTACACAGCCAGAACACAGGAACAATTACCTAATAGTCTCTGCTTCTGGCCTCCATAAAGTACATCAGAGGCTCCTGTATGTGTACATGTGGTCTCCAAAAACCTCTTTATCTGCTTCCTTCCTCTGAGGTTTTTAAACCAGCCTCCCAGAGACAGGCAGTGCATACATATGTGTAGGCAGGTGCTTTTGGGAAGTCATTGTATGCATTTCTGCTGTTCTATTCATTGCACTGTGTAGTTATACAAACAGTTCAGGCTGCTTGGGATGAGAAGGGTTAACTGTGTCTAGATTCTTTCCCGGGCTTTCTGGGTCCTGTCCACTGTTGTAAGCCACATAAATACAAAGGGAAGGCTCAGAGCTGTTCTCTCTTCCACATGGGATTTCAAAGGCCCCCTTCTGGATCACCTTGCTGGGATTCTCCCTGGGCTAAGAATCTACTGTGACGATCACGGCATCAGACCCCAGCCCTTCTTACCAAGCTCGTGACCAAAGGACTAGCCAATATAAAACCGTGCTGTCACGTGCGTAACAATGCCACACCCAGCTGCACCCCCGCACAAAGATTTTCCAGCTAATGGACCACAACCTGTGTGCCGGCAGCCTGGGAGCGATTGTTACTGGGTCAGGTTAATTATGCAATTAACCCTTCACACACTGCCACCACCTCCTTTTTGTACAGAGAAAGAGGAAACTCGGCAATATCAGCAATAACACTATGATGTTTGATTAATCGTCAGTATACCACTGTCACCGCATGCAGAGATACCGAAGTTTAAACACACACACACACAGTAGCGCTTTTCAGAGGCAAGGATTTTTAGTTCGCATTAAAGAGCTTTAGAAACAGTTCAACACTTTCAGAAAGTAAGATTTATTACTAAAAGGTCAAAAGGGTGCAATAAAAATATTTACAGAAAAAGATGTAGCCAATATAT